TATTGAGAAACAATGATAACATCAAATCCACTTTGTGTTGTTATCGTAAATAATTAATTCAGTGCGTGTAAGCAAATTAAGTCTACCTCCTTTGCTTATTACTTTTTGAACTCGATTTATCTATATCAAAATATTAATCATGTTTTACTTTTTATTACATTTTTTTTCACTTTTTTTGCTTTTAATTTCTATTCTACTTATTCAAGATTCACTATAGAAAATTTAAAAGCTTCTTTGCTAATGTGTAAACAAGCAATAATTTAGAAAAGACTGTACCATTATGGTGCGTGACCATAACTGCTATTCTTAATCGCGTATTTAATTAAGTTAGGATTAAGATTACAATAAAATATAGTCACGATATCGCGTTGTGTCACGAGACTTAAGTTTGTTCCCTAATACTACCTATTTATTTCGTTAAAAAGAAACAACTTGTATATTACATTAAAAAAGTCACGTACTGGGAACTATCATAATGTGTCATAAAACTTTTTGATATTTCAATTTTATACCGAAGCGATTCTGCTAAATTTTCCCTTTTATTTTCAATTACACAAGGCGACAAAAAAAGTCATGTCGTGACAACTTGACAAATTTTATATCATTTTGTTCGTCTCAGTGAGACAAATCAAATGCACTAAAAAAATTTCAAAAAGTCCACACACTTTGAACTAAATAATTTTTTTTTAATTTAAATGAATTTAAAATACTTTAACTTTAAAAAATCATGATCAATAACTATTAGGCCCATTTCCTTCAAAGGAATTGTCTTCCTCTTTAAAATGATATGAAATTTGAAATTGAATATTGGCAAACTTTTCTTGGAACAGCGTTCGAAGAAGTTCAAAGTAAATCGAAATAATCTAAGAAAAACCCTACGAGTATTTTTTTTTTCATGATTACCACCGTCTTTATTAGTTGTAATCGAAATTTTCAAAAGAATATACCGAGTAGTGTTCAAGATATGATTTTTTGAAGTTAAGGTTTGCATTCATTCACTTTCCATTCAGATTACGACTTGTTCCCTTTGCTCTAGCTTTCTGAATTTTTTTTGAAAATGTTCTGAGCAAATGCTTTCTCATCACTTTCCAGTGATGTCAAATGCAATAAGTCACCTGATTTATTTTGTTGGTACATTCTACGATTAGCTTCAGTTAGCTTGTAGGTAGTAGTTGTTGTGATAACAGTTGCACACGAAGCAACTGACTTATTGCATTCAACATCAGTAGAAAGTGATGAGAAAGCATTTGCTGAGAACATTTTCAAAAAAAAGTTCAGAAAGCTAGAACAAAGTGAACAATTTAGAATCTGAATAGAAAGTGGTTTAATTTGAAAAAGATTTGCCCTTAATTTTAAGCTACTGCTTTAAACTTCTAGATACTTCTTGCTCAATGATCAGTAATCATTTTTAGAACAAAAAAACTCTTTATTTGGTTTGATTAGTACGCTGGTACTCTTTATTTGTTTTAAGTAAAGAAATAGTTTTTGTTTATTCTAATTAGAACAAAGAAGGTGCAATTGACCATTTTTAAGCAAAAGAAGAGTCTTAAAACAAATACTTTTATAAAAATGCAATTTTAAGTAAGGCATTTCTCCTGTATGGCGCATTATCTGAATAGCAAACCTTAACTTCAAAAAATCATATCTTAAAAACTACTCGGTATATTATTTTAAAAATTTGGATTTTAACTAATAGAAAGATGCTCTACACGATGGTGACAAAGAAAAAAAAGTTACTCGAAGGGTTTTTCTTAGATTATTTCGATTTACTTCGAACTTCTTTGAACACTGTTCGAAGAAAAGTTTGCCAATATTTAATTTCAAATTTTATATCATTCTAAAGGGCAAGGCCATCCCTTTAGAATGGTCTTTATTTGAAGAAAATCGGCCTAATAGTTATTGAGTAATGATTTTTTAAAGTTAAAGTATTTTAAATTCATTTAAATTAGAAAAAAATTATTTAGTTCAAAGTGTGTGGACTTTTTGAGATTTTTATAGTGCATTTGATTTGTCTCACTGAGACGAACTAAATGATATAAAATTTGTCAAGTTGTCACGACATGACTTTTTTTTGTCGCCCTGTGTTATTTATTTCAAGTGGGTCAACAAATTTAACACCTATTATGCACACATATTTTATAAATACAACGAGATAAAATTCTCGTGTTTTGGGGAAATAAAGTTCAGTGAGTAATTGCCTAATTAAAATTTTAAATAAAACTAATATTTTTTGTGTATTTTTGCTACTAAATTACTAAAACGACGATTTTTATTGATCTTAAAATACTGCACTGCATTTCTTTTTTAACATAAATAATCAAAAAATATTTACAAATAATTAGCTTTTTCATTTGTTGTTAGTGTAAGTGTTGAGAGCCTTTTGCGAGATTTGGCGCAAATACAACAAAAGAAATGACCAAAAGAGTAAATAGCGAATAAAAGAAGTTAAATTAGGGTGAGTTCATCGATGCGAAGTGAAGTTAGGGGTGCATTCAGCGAACCGTTAGTTTGGTTAAATTTATATCAGATGAAGCGAGCGGACCGCCGGCAATAAAAGGGCAATTAGAATGGTTGGGCGGTCTGGAAACAGTCTGATTAAAAAAGAGAAGGACCAAATAGACAGGCACAAACCAATAAAGTAATAAGAGAGAGTTAATTATCGCGGCTGCGGGGCGAATGATCGACGAGAGAGATGAAGAGAAAGGGGCGCACGCTCGTGGGGGACTACCTAATGGTGAGGAAAATGATAATGTCGTCGCCTCTAATACCTCTTCCTTTCTTCCTCCATGATTGATTTGCTAAATTTAAAAGCCGACATTTTATTTAACGAGCAAAAACTTAGAGTCCATTTCAGTCCACTAAAATGTTATAAACAATGAGAAGATGTGAAGCTCGTGCCATAGTAACGGCTGATTAGCAACGACAAACATGTATTAGCATTTTATTGCTTTAGCCAGACTCTCTACGCCCTCTAGATAAAGTGGAATTAAAACTGAAGTGCTCTTTGATCTCCACCGTATTAACTAAACTCAGCTATTGGCCGCACTTATTAAATGAGAGGGAGACAAGTTGATGCTTTCTTTCTTTTTCTTTCTTTACGTTTAGTCGCAACTTAATAACTTGTTAAAATGATGATTAAAACATTCTCTCTCTTGGTTTTGGTTTAATTTTGTTTCTATTAAAACACGGTAATAATTTTAATTTTAATTAACACATATAAGAAAACTTTTGATGTCAAAGAAACCTATTATATCATTTAAGTAATATAATTTATTGTGCTTTATTTACAAAAATTCACAGCTCTAAAGAAAACAATTATGTAGTTAAGTAATCATAATCAATCATTGCGAAATTACTACCGTCTAAAACAGACCATCCATGCGGAAATGGTGGATGCGCCATGTTGAAATTTAGACCAAAGTTATTGCATTTGTAGCCAATGAAATTAAACTAGGTTTTGGCCTAAATCTCATAAAATAACCTAAAAAAAACCTAAAAGTCATTGATGGCAATTACGAAATAAACTGTATAGGGTGGTTGTCCGAATAATCTCCGAAACTTAGAGGTTTAGTCCAAAATGAGTGATACATTCAGGGGCTCATTTTTTAAGAAAATAATATTGGTTAAAACCGCATCCCGCTATCGTCTTTTGTTTTCGACTTATAATCGAAAATTGACATTTTAGCGAAATCTAAAAAAATTCATATCTTCGTTATTATAGAAGATACGGATTTGAAATAAAGACAAATAAAGGCACTTTTTTACGAGGAATTTAATAATGTAATTAACAATTTTTTTCAGTTATTGGTTTAGTCGTAATAAGATAAACTTGTATTTTTTTAAATGGAAATCATAAGCGGTTATGGTAATTTTGCAAAGCTTATTTTTTTCTGATCTAAAAAATATATATAATATATATTTGTAACAGAATATTTTTTTATAATTATACTTAAAAAATGAGATACATATTTTGTTTGATAATAGTTGGCCATGGAAAAACTATTTCACTCCAAATGTGTAAATAATAATCAATCAGAACTGTGAAATAGATGAAAAATAGATAAAATTATAAAAATTTAAAAAATACGATACGTTAGAAGTATTGAACAATTATGCGAGTGCCTCAGAATAAAATTATTGCATATGTTTAAAGAATCCAAAAATAGGAAAAACAAATGTGTCAACAGTCAACACAATTAAAAAAAAAACATTTTTTTGATGATCTAATGGATGTAGGATACGTTTCACATAGACGGAATTGCAAATTATATGAAAAAAATTACATATAAAGCAGATAGTTGTAATCCTTAGAGGATAGCTTTTATGAGAAAAATGATTTTATAGTGGGTTGCCATTTAAAAAAAATATTTTTTTTGTAGAACTCAAAAACAAAAGGTAATTTCGAAAAAATTTATTCTTGTTTAATCATCACATTTTTATAGTACTTTATCACTCATCAATTAGTTTTTGCAAAAAATAAATAGTTTAAGTAAAAAACGTTTGGTTCCATACTTTTTATTCACCTGATATTTTATTGAAGAATTAAAGCGGCTTTTTTTACAACACTCTATGATTCACACAAAGTTGCAATGGTAATGTTAGCTTGTTTAAAAACAAAGAAATATTATTAGTCGCCAATAAGTTGATTTACGATTTATTTTGCATTTTTTCATTACTTAGTAGTTAGAAAACTGTTTCATTAGTAACACTGGTTGAATAATATAGTTTAAATCCTTTTAGTTGAAGATGAAACATTTTTTCATGGCCAAATGCGAACAAAAATCAAAGATAATTTTTTGCTAAAAATGAATTATAATAATTTGTTACAAATATATATTTTTTAGATAAGAAAAAAACAATTTTTTTAAAAATGACATAGTCATCTGTGATTCCCATTTAAAAAAAATACAAGTTTATCTTATTACTGGTAAACAAACAACTGAAAAAAATTGTTAACTACATTATTAAATTCTACGTAAAAAACTGCCTCTATAATGACGATAGCGGGATGCGGTTTTAACCAATATTATTTTCTCAAAAAATGAGCCCCAGAATGTATTACTCGTTTTTGGCTAAACCTCCAAAATGCAGCACCCTGTACTTAACACTCGATCACAAAAAGTCCAACAACTATCATAATAAATATACACAATAATTGAGACAAAATATACACATTGATATTTACAGTTAACGCAACACAGATATGTACAAAATGATTGTCACTGGAACCGCACCTACACCATTTGTAGTCCTTTGGTGATGTTCTCCACATGTTCCTTGGCTTTGAGACGCAGTGCTGCAATTGAGGTAGTCCTGAGATCGGGGGTGACAGTGGGGGAGTGGGAGTGTGCGACAGGTGGGGGTCTGTTGGGGTCCGTCGCGATGGGCGATGTGAGGTAGCTGGGGTACCCCGTCTGAGGGTGGCTGAGGAACCCCGGCAGAGCGGAGAGCAGTGGAGGCGACAGCCAGGGGTCCATGGGGAGAGCTAGAGTAGAACCCGTGGCTCGTGATAAGGAGGAGACGGCGTGGTACTCGCTCAGACCCAACCTCGCCGCCTCCATCTTCTCCTGGCGCCGCCACTTGGCGCGTCGGTTCTGGAACCAAACCTGCAACAAAATATAAATATTTAAAAAGTCATTATCGGTAATGCCGTTTTTTGATTGCTAGTTACAGAAAGCTTTTACGGAAAGCAAATATAAATCAAGATAACATCTATAAAATGAAATTACTGACGTAAAGTGGACGTTAGTTGGTCGCTTGGAGGCTATTAGTGTGCAAGCGTTGCACCAGAGGTACTAAACAGGTGGTTTTGGTATCACTTTATTTGCTTACTTTGGCTGCATGTCAAAAACTCGTTAAAGTTGAATGCGACTTCCAATGGGAGACTTCTAAGCTTCAATTTTATTTCCATTTTCTAGATAAACACCTGTGTTTATTTAGTAATCGATTTATCTTTTCTTATTAGAGATATTTTTACGTGCATTTCCATTTGATTGCTACACAAACATAATCATGTTTTCTAAACAATAATGACATTAAGTCGGATCGATTCTTTTTATTTAACTTTCAGCGCAATCAACCACGAGATTACCTTTAACGACTATTTAAACTTCTTTATGCAATAATTACGTTTCATATTTGTGACATTAACTCAATCGAAATGCAAACTTATTTCAAAACATTTTATAGGCTAAAAGCTAATAAATGTCTAAACATTAGTCTTCTTATAATACTTAAGGACCTACCCACATAACTTTCTAACCACATTACGTGAAATATATTCAATAATTAGAGTTAAAAAAATGAGAATAAAATTGTACACGTATAAGTAACTACATCAGCTTATAATTGTCGGGCTGGCATATATTCTTAATGTAGCCTAATAATGTTTGCATTGTTAACAAAAGATGGTTTACTATAGTAATAAAAAAGTGTAGAAAACACCCACCATTGCAAAACATGCACACTCTAAAAATGGAATCGTCTTTTTCTACTTTTTCAATTTTATACAATCATTTGTTTCTATAATATAAAATTAACGTTTTAGCTATCTTATCGGCATATTTGTCTAGTCTTCAACTAACTTCACTTGAGCGAAAACGGCTCTCAAAAAATCGAAATTTGAATTTGGCGTTTGGAAACGAACTATAAAGTCCTTGTCGTTTCTTAGTAACGCTAATCCGGCAAATTCAAATTTCGACTTTTTGAGGGCATGTTTTCGCCCAAATAGTGTTAATTGGAGAATCGATAAAAATGTCGATAGATAGGATCAATCAGATTTCGATTTCTGTTACTTCTGCAGCCGGAAAAAAATAAAAACTAATTTTCCAGTAAATTTCATATATCCAAGGACACCCAGTATATAAAAAACAGTGTGTAAACTGTTCTAAACTGAAAGATTACAATTTTTTATAGATTATAATAAGGTGGACACAGAAACAAAATAACAACTCATTAATTCTTGGTTTCAGAGCTTTTTGGCTATCTTGTATTTTATATCTTGTATCTTGTATCTTGTATCTTGTATCTTGTATCTTGTATCTTGTATCTTGTATCTTGTATCTTGTATCTTGTATCTTGTATCTTGTATC